ATTGGGGCCAGGGAGATGGCTCAGTAGAATAAGCACTTGCCTGGCAAGCACAAGGGCCTGAGTTCAAACCCCGGTTCTGCCAAATAAATAAATAAATAAATAAAACCATTCTCTAGTATTCGGAGAGCTAAGTTTTTATATCATTGCAAGTAACTTTGTATTATTTATTGTATTATACTGAATCATTACAAACAATATTACAATAAGTAAATTTAAGTAACAAACTCTCTTTTTGGATTACTTCCTTGTAATAAAACTGAATTCCTAAGGAAAACTGCAAACTAAAATTGCATAGTGCTGCTTCCTTAAATTTCTTTGAGGGGCCGGGGAGATGGCTCAGTGGAATAAGCACTTCCCTGGCAAGCACAAGGACCTGAGTTCAATCCCCGGTTCCACAAAAAAAAAAAAAATTTCTTTGAATTCCCTTCTGATGTTAAAGAACCAGTAACACAAAACACCATTAAGGACACTATTAATAATCATAATGCAAGGCCTAGGATACAGCTCAGCAGCACAACACCTGCCTGGCAAGCACAAGGTCCAGACTTCAATTCCTGGCACCAAAAACAAAAATTCATAATGTAGCTGGTAGTGTGAGCATGATTTGTGCCCCACCCCCACCCCATGGCAGGAAATTGGTCTGCATGATGGCAGCACAGGGAAGAGGGTATGGACTTTTAAGAGTTAGGGCCAAATGAGAGGACCTCAGGTCCACTGGGAAATGCTTTCAGGAGACCGAGGGACTGGGGACTGGCTGGCTCTGCAACCTCGCAGGCAATGTAACCTCACCCCAACAGAGGCCCCACCACTGCCATTACCTTTGCACCCACCAAGTGGCCCTTGCCAGGCCTGAGCCAGCATAGGTACCAGCCTTCTCCAGCACTGAGCCTAGAAAGGAGCCATACTCTTCAATCTCAAAACTATGGGCTACAAAAACTTATTTTTCTTTATAAGATTATGTCAGTAGGGTCAGCCAAATAGCTTAGCGGATTGAAGCACCTATAAGCAGGCAGAGGGGCCAGGGGTTCGATTCCCCAGGCCTGCCCTCCGGGCCCCGCCCCAGGGACACTCTGAGCTGGGTAATTTTTTTTTTTTTTTTATTTGTGGAGGTTTTTTATTATCAAAGCACAACAACCTACGTAGCATTGGGAAATATCTTTCAGTTATGGCAAAAATGATCAGAGCAGTGTCAATAAATCAGGGCAGCAGCAACTCAGCATTTGCTCCTCTCCAGTAAGCACTAGGTAAAGACCCACAAATGCTGAACAGGAAAAGAAGCAGGCATAACAAGCAACCACGCAGTGTGGGGGCTTTGTTAGACTGAGATCAAAACGTGAACGCTTCTACCAAACTTTGCTTATGGTACTTGCTCTATTCTCTTACAAGGATAAAATACACACAAAACTACTCCTGGTGAAATTTAAAGGAAAGTTGTAGTAAGGAGAAATAGTCTCGAGAGGGAATAACTTATTTTTATGAAATTATAATTTATGCAGCCAAAACAAAAAAACCACTTGGAATAGCCACTAACAAAATGTTCACTCTGGGATTCCATAAGGATGCTAGGAGCAGATCACAGTGACAGCAGACACTGTCATCCCAGTGCCTCATGCTTGGGGGTGACCTTGGGAGCCAACCAGACAGCAAGGTGTGCAGCAGGTTCCTGGTTGGGCACTCAACAACTTACGCTCATCTTATAAAGCAAAACCCCTGAATGCATCATTACAATAGATACAATGAGGTGTGGGGCAAGTACAGAAATGTTTCACTTCCCACAGAGTGATATTCTTGTTTCTGTGTAGTGACATGAAGAACTTCAAGGCAAATTGCATAATTCTAGAGAACAAGTATTGCAAGTTCACTCTCCTTCGAGACACAGGAGGTCTTCTAAATAAAGTCTTGCCTTACAAATAATAAAGACTGAGTTACAGAAAGAACATTTGGAAATGGGCATGTGAAAGCACTTCCCTCATTGCTTTGCTTCCTAAATATGGAGTGTGAGATGGGTAATTGAGACTGGGCATGGTGGTGCCCAGCTGTAATCCCAGCACTTGGGAGGCTGTAAACAGGAGAAGTACTATGAGTCCAATCTAGTAGTGAGAACCTGAACAACCTGTAGACCCTTCCCTAAAATTAAAAAAAAAAAAGACTGTCAGGTATTTTATTATAAAGTAATGCAATTATTTCAGTATCTTTTTATGATTCTCTAAGTAATCATACATAAATATAAACCCAAAAGCTGATAAATTAAAATATTATTTGTCATTAAAATGTATTTTGTAGCACAAAATGCATACAAATAAAATACAAGCAAAGGGGAGGAAGAGAAGGGAACAGGCACTAAAAAGAATGAAGAGTTTCATTGTCCCAAGTCCCCATGGTGAGGGTAATCACTAGATACAGTAAACACAATTTTTTTTTTTTTTTTTTTAATGGAACCGGGGATTGATCTCAGGCCCTTGTACTTGCCAGGCAAGCGCTTATTCTACTGAGCTATCTCCCCAGCCCCAAAAATATTTAAACAAACCAAAAAATTAAATTTTGAAAAACCTACTTTTTGAGGTATCTGAAATGTGAAATATACTTTTTTTCACTATCGTGATTGAACCTAGGACCTTGCACTTGCCACAAAAGCACTTATTCTACTGAGCTATCTCCCCAGCCCCTTTTTTTGTCTTTTTGAGACAGGATCTTGCTGCGTAGTTCAGGCTGGCCTTGAGCTCACTTTGTAGCACAGACTGATCTCAAACTTGCAGCGATCTTCCTGCCTCAGCCTCTCCAGTGCTGGTATTAGAGGCATGTGCTGCCACGCTTGGTGAGACATACATCTTTCCAAAATGTATCAGGTTATTTTTTTTACTTCATCCCTATTCCAGTTCCACATGATAAACTAACGACATTAAATAAGGCAACCAGACTTGCTTATTTTATTCCTAATAGTTTTCACAAGGACCTCTAAAATATTTTATGGTTTGCGGGGTGGGGGGAGGCTGCTGTTTTTTAAGCTAGAGTCTTGCTATGTGGTTCAGACTAGCCTTGAATTCATTTTGTAGCTCAGGCTTGCCTTGAACTCACAGTGATCCTCCATCTTCAGCTAGATCCTCCTGCCTCAGTCTCCCTCAGTGCTGGGATTAACAGATGTACACCACCACGCCCGGCCTATGCCTGTATTTTTAATACAGCAAATAATCTTGTTCTATACTAACAGCATTTTCCTCTAAGAAGCAAGAGTTTCTAGATTTAGTGTGAGTACTGTCATAAATATCCATGGTACCATTAATAAATATCTAAAAAAAAAAAAAAAGGAATCGCAGCAGAGTTATAGAACTGTATACACTAACTGAATATTTTCTAATAGGCTCTTTTTGACATAACAAGAAATCATCTTATCCCCCTAGCACTCATTCTTTAATAAAAGGAACCAAAGCTCCAAAGAGGAATGGCCAATTCCAAATCTTCCACTGGGAATGTACAGAACCTGCTCACTTTGTGGAGTCAGCAAACAAGAACACTTTAAGGGGAACTACCCGCCTGGGCCCCCCTCCTGTCCCTCTCTTGGACAGGAGCTTTTTTTCTCTCAATAAATATATTCTGTTCATAAAAAAAAAAAAAAGAACACTTTAAAAGACAGATAAAGGGGCTGGTGAGATGGCTCAGTGGTCTAAAGCACCTACTTAGAACAAGCTAATCTAAGCAAAGCACAGGGACCGTCGTTCAATTCCCCAGCACCACATGCCAGCCAGCCGCGCCCCCTGGTGGGCTGAGCTGGCCACACATACATACACAAAATAAATAAATAAATATTTTTTTTAAAAAAAT